AAACCGAGTAACTGTCGAGGAAAAAGCTTTCAACAGAGTGGGGCTGTGTTTCTTTTTTAACTTGTGCTTTTTTAAAAAAATCAATATAAATGTCTACTTGTGCTGATATTATAGCCTCTGATACAATTTAATTTTGTGGTGAGCTAACTTAAACTGTAGCTGTGGGAGAACAGCAAGATATAAATAACATAAACAAATCTATATAAATAAAGGTAAGTATCTATTTGTGTGATTGTCCATCTGTTACTGTACTATATCAAAATGGTTAGATTTTCACCAAGTTTTGGAGGTACAGGTAGATTTGACATGATCTGTCTTTTTTTAAAAACCCAAAAACAGTTACAGGGTGTACCAGACAGTGACTTTGGGGGCCTTTGAGGGTACACCAATTATTTTCTCACACAACAGCTGTACAGATTTTCAACAAGTTTGGAGGTGATGGATGGCCTGACATGCAATATACAGGGGGTCGAGAGCAACCTAGTTACAGTACTTATTCTTAAACTATTAGATGACTTTTCGCCAAATTTGAAGCCTTGCCTACAAAGTACATATTGCTTTTTTAAAATAATTTTTAAAAGTTCATGAAATTTCATTTATACTGTGATTTTATAGACAGGGAAGAGTTTCCAAGTACTATTCATTAACAGGGAAACAGACTTGTTGAGGAGTTATAGAAGTTGATAAGCTGAATCAGCTTCTCATATAAACTGAATGAGCAAAAAGAGGAATAGAGAGCGAGCAGGGCAAAAGAAAGAAGGGGGTGCACAGAGAAGTGAGAGGGGGTGCTGGAGCGAGGGTGGGACTTGTGAGATTTTAACCAAGGCAAAGCCAGATCCACTAACTACTGCTAAAAAATATACAATATCAGGTATGAGACAGACATTCATTGCCAGGTTTAAGTATTCACAAAAATCTTGTTCCATCAGATCAGCAGTTTAGAAAACGCAAGAGCTGCTTAGGTTTTTTGTGGACTTCTCTATCAAGAACTCTCCCCAAACTGATAAATGAGGTCCATTGTCTTTATTTCCGCATCACAGAGAAAGCAACATAATAAAGGGTTTTGCTTATTAATATAACCTCCAGCCCCCCACCAAAGCTCTACTCGTGTCATCTTGTATATTAACATGCACTGATAAATGACTGTTTCCTCAAGTTCATAATTTAAACTTTGGGAAATCCAATTTATTCCAATAACATTGGACAACGATAATTGTCTCATAATTGTACGTAATTTAAAATTTGACACGCTAAACCATTTTTTTAAAAAATGGAAGTCACAGAAAGTAAGTGGTAAGGGAACAGTGGATGCTCGCATTTAACTGATGCAGAAGCTAATTCTGCAAACAATCCAAAACCAGATCCAAGCCATAAGAGAAAAAATAAATTAACTTGCACTAATAGCAACAGTAATGATCGTCACAATAATTTCACACGCGAGGGCAGCAGCTTTAGATTCTAGCTCAAGCCTACACAGTACTCGAATAGATTCCAGCCCTAAGTTGGTTTACTCCAAGCAAGCGCTCGGGTCTGAAAAGGTTAGTGGGTCACAGGCAGCACTAACTAGCTCGAAATATTGGCTGCAGGACTTGAGACGAGAAAAAAAAAATAAACTACTACGGGCTTGGCGCGTGTGTGTGGGGGGGGAATGGAACTGCAGGGAGAACGAGGCCGGGAGGCTCCCTAGCGCTGCGGTTCGGAGGGCAGCGGGCCCCCGCGAGGCTCCTCCGACGAAGGCCGACTTCCTCGCCCGCTCCAAGCACGGCCCGCACTTCTAGGCGGGCGAGAGAGAGGGAGGACGGCGCGGCGCGGCGCGGCGCTTCGCTCCGAGGAGGCCTCGGTTTCGCTACGCTCTGCCTCAGCCGCCTTCGCCTACCCTCTTCCGGCGGTGGGGCGCTGAGGGCCGGGGTGGCGGCGCCCGCCCTCCCGCCGGCTACTCCCTTCTCCCCTGGCCGGCAAGTTACCTGGGGGTCCCGTGAGGAAAACGTGCTTGGCCATCTTGCCACGCCGAATTCGGCGAGCGGGGCCGGGGAGGGGGGGGGAAGCCCTCTCGTCCTCCCTTCCCTCGCTTTAAAGTCCTCCTCGCTCCGAAGAGCAAGTGAGGAGGACCTGGGAAAGCTGGCCTGCGTTTCCGGAAAGCAGTGCTTTGGAGACGTTGCTGTTTTGGGAGTTTCCCCGCGAGCTGTGCCCTGGCAGTGGCCCGTTCCCCCCGCCACACACACACACCTTCCCACGGGCGCTCGCTTTCCAGTGCTGAGGCTGCCCTCCCCACCACAGGAGCTTTAGGAGCACGTAGGCTCTTTTGCAAATAGCGAGCTTGAGCAAATCTGCAGTGCATTTGCACAGGTTATGTGAGAGGCAGGATCGTCACATTCTCCTCTTGGCCAGTGGTCAGTTTGGAAGCGCAGCTGCTCGACAGTCACAAGGAGAGTTCAACAGTGTAGGGAGCGGGATCCATCATAAATGAGGATCAGGTCGTTGGTAAAATCAATGGCTCTTTGTTACCCGATCAAAACCAAACCACCTTCAGATCAGAGCTAGCTAGGGGCCGGGGAGTATACTGTTCTAGTATACTGTTCTAGTATATCTTTCCCATAAAATGGGGAGGATATCAGTTAGATTGAGAAGGGGTTGGGTTAGGGGTTGACAAGTCTAGTGCCTGCTACTCAGAAGTTACCAAGGTGTTGATCCTTTGAGCTCAGCATCTGGCACACCACTGCTTCTATGGACTTTTCACTGGGTGTATTTTCATTACTGGGAGAAACAGATTTTAGAGTGTTTCAAAAACCTATCTGCCTTGAAGCAAGAACTGGACAAAATAAGTACTGTAGCAAGACCTAAAAGGCCTAATCCACTAGATAGTGGGGGAATGGGAGCACTTTACCAGGTCAAAGAAAAAAAGACCTAAATCATGTAGAATTGAAATGATGGTGGCAGCATCGAAACAGAGGTAAACCTTGCCTCCCACATCCTCAACCCGCCCCCCAGAAGTCAGACTTATGCAATGAACATGCAAATATAGTCAGCAGAACATGCTTACATATGGTTGTTGTGGGTTTTCAAGGCTCTTTGGCTGTGTTCTGAAGGTTGTTCTTCCTAACGTTTTGCCAGTCTCTGTGGCCGGCATCTTCAGAGGACATGAATCTGAACTCTGTATTAATAGCTGTGGGATCAGTTTTGTACTTCTCAGGAGATGGGTGATTGTGGTGATCAGTGTGTTTTTTGTTGTTGTGGGTGTATTGTTGTGATAAGAGGGAGAGATTATTTGTCACTGTGGTTGATGGGTGTCGTTAGCTGGTCTTTTGTGTGCAGTGATTCACCGGTCCTTGCAGACTGTATTTTTCAGTGCTGGGAGCCAGGCCTTGTTGAGTTTTAAACTTTCTTCTTTTTTATTGAAGCTCTGCTGGTGTTTGTGGATTTCAATGGCTTCCCTGTACAGTCTAACATAATGATTGCTGGTGTTGTCCAGTACTTCAGTATTTTGAAATAGAATTTCATGTCCAGCTTGTTTTAGGGCATGTTCAGCTACTGCCGATTTTTTTTGTTCTTTTAGTCTGCAGTGTCTCTCATGTTCTTTGATTCTGGTGTAGATACTGCATTTTGTGGTCCCAATATGTACCTGTCCACAACTGCAAGGGATCTGGTATACTCCTGCAGGGGTAAGGGGGTCCCTTTTGTCCTTTGCTGACCATAACATTTGTTGTATTTTTGTGTTGGGCTTGAATATTGTTTGTAGGTGGTGTTTTTTCAAAAATAGTCTGTGACCCCTTTGATGTATGGCAGAAATACTTTTATTTGTGGGTGGCTGTTTTTCTTCTTCAGTTTGGTGTTGTTTTCTTGGTTGGATGGCTCTTGTGATTTCATTTTTGGAGTAGCCATTTACCTATAGGGCCCAATTCAGATGATTGAGTTTGGTGCTGAGAAATTGATCTTCACAGTTCTGATTTGCACGGTCTACCAGTGTTTTAATAATGCCTCTTTTTGCTGTGGGTGGTGGTTGGAGTTTTTGTGTAGGTACCAGTCTGTGTAGGGGGGTTTTCTGTAGACCTTGTGTCCCAATAGGAGGTCAATTTTGCGTATGACCATGACATCTAAGAAAGAGAGTTGGCCCCCTATTTCTTTTTCCATGGTGAGTTGTATATTTGGGTGGATGCTGTTGAGATGGTTTAGAAATTCTTCCAGTTTTTCTTCACCGTGGCTCCAAATTGCAAACGTGTCATCCACTATCCCACTGAAAATACTGGTAATTAGGCAGTGTTGGAAAAGGGCCTTGATGTCTTCTGGAAAGATCTGCTGGATGAGTATCAGAGTGTCCTTATTGGTACCTTGGTGAATAGGGATACCATGTCAAAGCTGATAAACCTGTCCCCGGGACTGAGTTTTAGGGTGCTGATCTTGCTTATGAAATGTCCTGAGTCTTTGATGTAGGATGAGGTTTGTCCAATGTGGGTCTGTAGAAGGTGGCTAGGTATTTTGCTAATTCATATGTTGGGGAGTCGATGGCACTTACAATGGGCCTGAGTGGGATTGAGTCTTTGTGGATTTGGGGGAGTCTGTATAGTCTTGGTGGGAGAGCTTCTGTCTTGCAGATTCATTGAAAGACATTGGGGTGCAGGGAGGAACTCCTGATCAGCATATTTGTTTTGTTGGTTGGGTCCCGTTTCAGGGGACCCCCTGAAATGGGACTGGAAGTTCCTTGATTTTTTCCTTGCATTCTTCTGTTTGTATGATTACTGTGGTGTTTCCTTTGTCTGCTGGCAGAATGATGATGTCCGGATCTGGAAAAACCATACCAGCCTTCCTTAGGACAAAAAGGACCTTCATTTCCCTACAGGCTAGCCGCATCTATGACCGCCTGGAACATGCCCTCCTACGGGAAAGAATCCACACAACCTGCAAAAAAAAAAAAAACTGGATTCCACAGACAAAGAACTATTATTCCTACACATCAATATCAGTCATCAGATCACTGCACACAAAAGACACCCATCCATCGTATACTTTCAGGCATTCAACACAGTCTGTAAGGGTAGAGGTGTATTACCAGCATGGCTATAGTTTATCCAGTTTCTTTTGCAGTGGAGGATACTGTAATTTTCAAACGGAATTAAAGTTAGTTCCCCCCAACAAGTTAGCGAGCAAAAGAAAGTTTGTGTTTGCTGCAAGCATCATATGAAAACTGGATGAATTTCTAGAGCTTTGGGTTGATTGAGGGAAATCAATTAGCAAGTTTCCAAATCAGTGACTGAGAAAAGAGGTCATTTAGCCAATTGCTCTTTTGTAGGCTAGGAATTGGAAGGAGAGAATTGAGGACACTATTACTCTGTAACCTCTGCCCTTGTTTGGATTTAATAGTTCACACTGAAAGAATAGTTTGTAAAGCAATGCACAGTTTGAGGCTCTAATTCTGTGCTTGAGGGCATCATTTCAGCTTTCAGGAGTGGAAAGGGCAGGACAAGATTTGGAGGAAGGTCACAGCTTTCGTATATTTGAAATTAAATTGCAAAAAGCTGTATGTATGAAGAACACTTATTTTAGTTAGCTAGCTAGCTGGCTGCCTAGATGCACAGGTGTACACACACAAAATATATAATACAGTAATACTGTCAAAAGAAATAGAGTTGTCCAGTCTCATATTTACTGCTGGAGTCTCAGGGAATTACTTTGTTTTTCTGCTTCTCTAGGCAGGAAAACAAACCTGAAGGTGAGACTTTTATAACAACAACATGTTAGTGTATCCAGGTGGCAACAGGATTTACTGGCCAGGATGAAGGCATTCTTATGCATGTGATGCTTTTGCAACATGGGCACACCAACAAGCCAGGAGCAAGGGGAAGAGATGGTGGAGAGTGCAATGGCCGCATGCACTTTATCCTATTATGTCACAGGGAGCAAGGCAAGGAATGGCGCACCAGCAGTGCAACATCTGAGCCTTGCTGCATAAGCTCTGGCACATTTTGAGGACAACTCTCTGTCACCTGGCCCTGAACTTTCCTCAGAGCCCAGCAGCAGTGTGAGCCTAGAAAAATACTCCATGGGCAGAACCCTGTTACTTAAGTATGTTGGTGCAAGTCAAACAGCATTGTCTGAATTGCTGCTGTTCAAGAAGTTGGGGCTTGTATATACAGTATTTTTTTCCTGTATGACTTGGCACATAATGAGCAGTGTATGCACTGCCTTAATAACTAGTGACAATTTGCTGCTGCAGTTTACTTAGGTCGGTGCATGTCAATAATAGGATTTCGAATTTCTGACTCATTGCAGATAGCCCAGATTGTAAGCTTAGTGAGAATGGTGGCAACCATTGAAACTGCTGGGCATAGCTTGCTGTTTGGCTGGCCACTGAGAAACAGCATGGCTTTTTGCCACATCTGTGTCTAGGTTGCGAAAATACTGAGCTAGCTGAGTTTTGCCTAGATTCTGGGCCCATTTACTATTTCAAGTCTGCTTCCACAGTCAGCTGCCCAGAAGAGAGTTGCACACTCTCCAAAACTTTCTCTTTCCTACCTCTGTCACATCATAAGGGCTTGCTCACGTGACAACACAAATGTTTATCTCCATCTCAGGTTTTTTTCTGTAAGAAATGGGAGAGTACTGACTGTCAGCCCTAAACAATGTCATTAAAAAGTGTGCCTTTGGTATGCAGCTCCAGCCCTCAGTAATGGTTAGTAATTAATTCTAACAATGCAGAATCACTGGATTTATATAGGCCTCCTGAGGAACAATGAAATGCAGGCAGAAATCACAGCGAAAACACTTTTTGCCATTTGTTCTTTGGTCTGTGTAGCTACCTATTTTGATTTCAGTGATAACTTACATACAACCTGCTTCTGTATTTCTAGATTGAAAACCCCTGGGAAATACAGAATTTAAAGCTAAAATGTGTATTTTTTTAAATAAAGCCTGCTAATTATATTTTCCAGGATTCTACACCACTGAACACAATGGTACTTACCTCTGAGAAAATGTGTGGAGGATTGAACTAAGCATGGCTGCAAATCTGTGCACAGTTATCTGCGAGTTAGCCCCAACGAACACAGTGAGACTTAACTGATTAGACATGGATTGGATTGGATTGCACTATAAAGCTTAAATGCTGTATACACTTACTTGGCAGTAAGCTGAATTGGATTTAAATCTGGATAGACATATATAGACACGCATTTTCAGTCATTTATACAAGTCATTATGACAGCATGATCATTGTACTTGCCACTGTAAAATAATACTATTTT